ATAAAGACACTCTCGGCGTTTCGGTTACGAAAAGTGAAAAAATCGATAAACTAAACCCAATTATTTCCTCTAGCATAGCGATAACAATCAATGTGAATAAGAAAAATCATAAAATCAGAAAACTTTGTTGTTTAAAATATGAACGTCTTTGAGATATAAACTCTTTCACTAAAAGGAAATCCTTTTAAGATGTAAATTTTCTGTTCTGTTGATTTACCATCATTTGAAACCCATTGTCAATTCATAACAAAATACAAATTATTCTTACCGCAATAATTATTAACTGACGTGTTTAAAAAGGTAGTTAACAGATTCTTAGAACGTACACCACGAAAGTTTCCTGTAAATGGCGAACTAGAAAAACATTAATAAGTGCCTGAGTGAAGTAACACACAACGAAAGCAAGGTAAATGAATTACCCAGAACGTGCCTGAGCCAGCATTGGGGCCCAAATCTGCGCAATGGGAACGTTGAACCAATGTAGAAAAATAATACGGATATTGTATTAAAACTAACTCTATGGATAGTCCAATGGCGAGTCTTTTAATCGATTTATCCAAAATATTCCACTCAGATACTTGGAAACTTGTCATCGTGTATAAAATCAAGTATACTTGACTGATGATTAAAGTGTTGTTCTCAAAAAGAATATTTTGTATTTCAATATCGGCTTTCGGTCGTCTTGAGTTCTGTTATGATACTCAAGTCTTATCACCCACATACGAATTTCTTTATTAATATTGTTGTTCTCGTTTGCATTGCTTCGTCTAACTGATTTGTCTCGTGAAACGTTAGGAATGTCTTCAGTAAACGCTGAAAACCGTGACGAAAGAAATGCAATAATTACCTCAAAACAGTTTTCAAAAGTGAAATATACTTGTGTGATAGTACTTCCTATTAACTTCACAAACTTGTCTTCCGAGAATCCTTTACATGCAAAATAATTATACACGTCCGGAGCACTGTGAGACAGCGAGTGATCAATAATAATGACGTAGAATTGGGCGTATTGTATGATCCTTATTTATTTGATCTAAAGATCACATATTACAACAAAACAATAAACTTTAACATTAACAAACTTACGTCTATGGCACCTTAATTCTACCACTGGTTAGCTAATTCAAGTTCATAAATGTTATTCTTTTGACTTCACCTTGAGACTGACCTGTAACTTTAGTTAAGCACTTGACGCATTTACATTACTATTTACATAACTAATCACCGAAACAACGTCTCTATAAAACCAAATCTACTTCCTCCGTCGTGGTTCTCTTCTATATGTAATTGAGTGGCCGTATATCTCTTTCACTTCGCACACTGTGACTTAGTTATGTGAACTAAATATGGATAATCAAGTGGTTTCGCTTTCGTAAAGTAACCTAATGGTCGAAGAAAGTAATTGCTTCTTTTGTTAACAAGAGGCAAGTTGATTTTTATCAATTTGTGGTTACTTTTCATCTTCAGCTATCGTATTCAGAGTATTAACGCAGTATTTGCGCAACAAGTTTTGAGCATTCGTTACTAATATATTGCGGAAAAGATGCAGTGCAAACTTACGTCAAGTGACAAGCATAATGTCAAGCATACTTTATTCGATACACGATAAAGAGTTTCCACATATCTCAGTGGAATATTGAGAAACAACTGACCAAATGACTCACAATTGAACTATCCGTAGAGCTTGTTTTCAATACAATATCCGTATTCATTTTCTTCAACGTTCCTATTGCGCAGGTTTGGGTACAATGTTGACAGAGATGGTTTGGCTAATTCATTTATCCTTGTTATCATTGTGTGTACCTTTTAGTCATAGTGGAGCTTTTCTTTGGAACAGCTTGCCAGAATTTTTAAGGGATTCTTCCAGGCAGCAAAAGGCAAGCTCAATTTAAAACAGCGATTTAAATACAAACGTCATTTGAATAAAATATCACATTCAATTCAACATGAGTTCATGAAATTCAAATTTGGAGCATATTGGTAAAATGCAAGCCTGAAGGATGTTGACACGCTGCCTAAATTTGGCCAAATTCTTCTGGGTAGAAAAACTCAAGCGAGTTTCGACTGACAAAGCAGGTGGTGTTACCACAACGTGTTTTAGTCATAAAGTGGCGGCGTTGCTTGCCACGATGCTTGTCAACAGAAAATATCCAGAATGAATAATGAATGTGTTTATTTAGACCATCCAAACAAACGTGGTATGCAGCTGGTTCTAAAGTTCTAAGCAACACTGAGCACGCATAAAACGTTGCTTGCCAAGATGCTTGTCCACAGAAAATATCCAGGGTGAATAACGCGTGTGTTTATTAAGACCATCCAAACAAACGTGGCATGCAACTGGTTCTAAAGTTCTAAGCAACACTGAGCACGCATAAAACAATGTTGGTTGCCAAGATGCTTGTCCACAGAAAATATCCAGGGTGAATAACGAGGGTTTATTTAAACAAAAGTGGCATGCAACTGGTTCTAAAGTTCTAAGCAACACTGAGCACGCATAAAACAACGTTGCTTGCCACGATGCTTGTCCACAGAAAATATCCAGGGTGAATAACGAGTGTGTTTATTTAGACCATCCAAACAAAAGTGGCATGCAACTGGTTCTAAAGTTCTAAGCAACACTGAGCACGCATAAAACAACGAAGCAAAGTACAAGATGAATATGGGGATTCTGTAGTAATGTTTTTGACCATCTTTAACATTGAATTGAAAACAAATCAGTTGATATATAACAAGTAATTCTCCAGATATAAGATATATATAAACAATGGAGAAAAACTTTCTCGTGAACTCCTTCAAACCAAGTAGTATCATCATAGTGAGTGGGACACATGTATAAATTTCAAATGATTCCACGCAATCTCCCAAAACGCGGACACGCTCTAGAGATGATGACAACGTTTTGTTATTGTTGTGATTCTGCCATTCTTGACAAATGTCGGTTGAATTCATGTTAACCTAGCGAAATACCATGGCAACAGATGTCTGTACGATGCTCGCCAAAGTGATATTTAATGTTGTCATTATATTTCGAATGAATCACAGAATTTTCTGCGAGTCATTTGCATGTTATCGACGACGGTTGCATTTTGAGATCTTAAACTGGACAATAGAACACTTGTTTCACTATAGTTGTCTTCAACACCGAGGTACTATATTCTTTGTTCATGTACCAATTTTGAGCATTATCAGACTCAAAGTCCACATCAGTGGTTTTAGATTTTGGTTTCCTCATCAAAGACACTTGAGGTGTTTTGAAGAGTGAAAACACAAATAAAATAAATGTAACTATCTCCTCTAGCATCGAAATGACGATCGAATGAAGCTTTTTCACATATTCCACGTATAAAAAGCTGAATTATTGAACAGCAGGTAGAAAGATAACCAGCAGAAAGACTCAAACGCAATTTAATGTTTTGCAAAGCTTTTCCGTAGTTCTTAGCATCAAAACAAAAAAAGCCCGTCGGCATATGCAAATCTGATGATAATAAAATCACGAACTTTTTACATATCACGACAGCATTCTAACGCTATTTCATTGGTCTTCATTACACACGTGACTCAACTTAATGTAAACATGAACCTTGGATAACACGTGCTTACCTTAAGACATGTCACGACAAAGATTTCAATCTTTACAGTTTACTGAACACTTTGATAGAACTATGTCCACATGAAGTACCAACCATGTTTATCCAACAAGGAATATTACACTAAAAAGGAAAGAGAACAAAAATAAACAAATATCTAACAACCGAACTTTGCAGTTCAATTTACGCCAGGGTGCATTCCGTGCACAAAAATTCAGAGATCTTCGGCGTGGAGAAATTATCTTATGAAAGAATGTTGTATGCAGTGCGGTGTTTGAAATTAAAAGAAGATATGATCTTCGCACTTTGCACTTTAACTTCATTTAAGAAATTATTATCTTGGCATAAAGGGCGAAATTAGTTATTACTATTCATTATTCACATTTGTTGTAATGGTTAAACTAAACATGAATACTTGAGTTTATATTATTTCTTAATTCGGCTTATATTGGGTTGGCGTGAAACTTCAACATTTTGGCGTAAAAAAAGTTATTTTGAAACCTTCGGCGTGGTGTTTACACGGAATACACACTGGAATTTACGTCACGGTAATAATATGTTGTGGCGGGGAGAGTGGGGAAAAAAGGGCGTCTGTTTTAGTTACGTAATTTTGATTTTCGACCATATTTACATATTGAAGCTCATTCAAAGTCATTTTCTAACACTTGGACAAAACTACAAGAAACAATGCTGACTGTGCATTTGATTAACGTTTACAGCTCCAAGAGTAGTAATAATTGTAGAGTTTCAATTAAGAAATAAAAGATGTTTATTGTGTTCACACAGGCTTATGCAAACCGAGGAAACCTTTGGGAGAACTTACGAAAAACACCTTTTATTTCTTTTATAAAATAAAATACTGCGAAAAAGACAAACATTTTAATTTTTCCTCTAAAATGTATTCATGGACGATTTGCAAATTCTCTTTGACTGATTGATTGTTTTGATTGATTTGATTGGTTGAGCTCAGATGTGTTTTGCACCGGCTGATGCAAACACAGCTCTAGACCAATAACTGCACGCGTTTCATTGTGTTAATTCTATAACATGTATTACTAAGTTGAAGACCTAATTATAAAAAGGAAAAGTTAGTTAACTGAGAGAAATTTGAGAACTACAATGAACAATTCACAATATTCTGATTTAATAACTTCTCAAAACATTAAAAATTGAAACAATCAATTTTCCCTAATTTGAGAGTTACAACCGGAGTGACTTGTGGTGCTTCGAAACAGTTGTAATTTTTAACCTAGAAGTTTTGCCTTCTTTCAATTCCCTTAAAATTATCGGGCTAGCTCGCTATCCGGGCCAGCTCACCTCCATGTAATCAGGCTCTAAGATGTGTAAAATTTAGTCGATTATATTTGCATGGATGAATGCCGTACATGGAAGCAACACGACTATAGACAATAATAACAATAAGAAGAAACTTTTCACAACTTTCGCTACATAAATAAAATGCAAATATTTTCTTATTTGCTTGATAGCATTTGACGAAAAATATTTTTCTGAATTGTTAAAAAAGTGAACAGTTTCTGATTGGATATTTCACAGAATCTTCTCTCATCTCGTGAAAATGTGCTTTAAATACGGAATTAAAATCTAAACTATAGTATGCAATAATATTTAAAGTAACAACAATATTGGCTAACAAATGTCGTTTCCAGTATTTCTTCCAAACGCGGCCAATAGGAATGTTGAAATAATGCATTTGCACAAAGTTAGACAGACAGTTAAAGATGAAGTCTATCCCAAGGCCAATCGAAATTCTTTTGACAAACTCCAATAACAAAGGTCTAACATCGATTTTGAAACTTTCAAGCTGGTAAAAGATCAGATAGGCTTGGCTTAAAACAAGAGTATTATATTCAAAAAGTATATCTTGAATTTCAAGGTCAGCTTTTAACAGTCTTGCAGGTGCAGTGTTCCATGGTAAAATTTGTAGTCGTTGAAAACAGCCTAAACCCTGCAATTTCGTTATTATTCGTTTCCAAACGTTGTAGCAGATTTGCTGAGTGGCTTTTTTCAGAAAATTCAAAACCGCTGAAAACAATGAAAGACCAATAAAAAGCGAAATACTTTTGAAGTCGGACTGCATTGTTCTGAAGATAAATATGGCAGCTCCTCGTATAACATATACCAAAATGAAACTACGACCTGGATGAACGATTTCGTCACTTCTTCTCAAAGCCATATGCTTACATAAAATCGCAGGAATAATAGTGAGTGCTGGAGAGGTTAACGCCACGAGAAATTTATACAGCTCTTTGCGAAAGCCATTAAACGCAGGAATAAGTTCGTACCGGTTAGCGTAAGAGATGAAAGCGCAAAATATAAATTCCATCAGAAGAAGCGCTATGATATGACAATTAGAGTAAGTGACCTGCTGATCACAAGCACGAATATTGTAAAGGATCACAAAGCCGGAACAAAATAAAGAGACACAAAATAAAATACTTGGAGGGATTCTGTAGTAACTATGTATATCGTAAAAGTTGAACTGAAATGAAATCAAGTGATAAATAACGACCATTTCCCCGAATATGACACAAACATAAAGCGCAGATGTGAACTTTTCTTTAAATTCTTTCCATCCGAATAACATCATCATTGACAATGGAAACCATAAATATAACACAAACGACTCCACGCAATCACCAAAGACGTGAACACGTTTCACAGATAATGGTAATGTCTTGTTTTTGTAATTCCGCCATGCCAAACAACTGTAGGTGGTATTCGTGTCAATATACACCAATGTCAAAGCAAAAAGAGTTGGCAAGATGGTAGCAAACGTGAGATTGATACTTGTCGATAAACTTTTCCACAATGATGATTTAAAGTTTCTGGAATTTTGCATGTTATTGCAGTATGTTTCAAGTTGATTTCCATCAGCCATGAAGATTTCACTTTCGTCGTTCAAATCAGACTGGTCATATTCTTTGTTTATAAATCTACTTCTGGAATCATTTTCCATTAGTCTAAAATGTATATTACCATCAGTACTCGCGTCCTCTTGCTCATGTTGGGCAGATAAAGACACTCTCGGCGTTTCGGTTACGAAAAGTGAAAAAATCGATAAACTAAACCCAATTATTTCCTCTAGCATAGCGATAACGATCGATGTGAATAAGAAAAATCATAAAATCAGAAAACTTTGTTCTTTAAAATATGAACGTCTTTGAGATATGAACTCTTTCACTAAAAGGAAATCCTTTTAAGATGTAAATTTTCTGTTCTGTTGATTTACCATCATTTGAAACCCATTGTCAATTCATAACAAAATTCAATTTACTCTTACCGCAATAATTATTAACTGACGTGTTTAAAAAGGTAGTTAACAGATTCTTAGAACGTACACCACGAAAGTTTCCTGTAAACGGCGAACAAGAAAAACATTAATAAGTGCCTGAGTGAAGTAACACACAACGAAAGCAAGGTAAATGAATTGCCCAGAACGTGCCTGAGCCAGCATTGGGGCCCAAATTTGCGCAATGGGAACGTTGAACCAATGTAGAAAAATAATACGGATATTGTATTAAAAACTAACTCTATGGATAGTCCAATGGCTAGTCTTTTAATCGATTCATCCAAAATATTCCACTGATACTTGGAATCTTGTCATCGTGTATAAAATCATGTATGCTTGACTGATTAAGGTGTTGTTCTCAAAAAGAATATTTTGTATTTCAATATCGGCTTTCGGTCGTCTTGAGTTCTGTTATGATACTCAAGTCTTATCACCCACATACGAATTTCTTTATTAATATTGTTGTTCTCGTTTGCATTGCTTCGTCTAACTGATTCGTCTCGTGAAACGTTAGGAATGTCTTCAGTAAACGCTGAAAACCGTGACGAAAGAAATGCAATAATTACCTCAAAACAGTTTTCAAAAGTGAAATATACTTGTGTGATAGTACTTCCTATTAACTTCACAAACTTGTCCTCCGAGAATCCTTTACATGCAAAATAATTATACATGTCCGGAGCACTGTGAGACAGCGAGTGATCAATAATAATGAGGTAGAATTGGGCGTATTGTATGATCCTTATTTATTTGATCTAAAGATCACATATTACAACAAAACAATAAACTTTAACATTAACAAACTTACGTCTATGGCACCTTAATTCTGCGACTGGTTAGCCAATTCAAGTTCATAAATGTTATTCTTTTGACTTCACCTTGAGACTGACCTGTAACTTTAGTTAAGCACTTGACGCATTTACATTACTTATTTACATAACTAATCACCGAAACAACGTCTCTATAAAACCAAATCTACTTCCCCCGTCATAGGTCTCTTCTATATGTAATTGAGTGGCCGTATATCTCTTTCACTTCGCACACTGTGACTTAGTTCTGTGAACTAAATATGGATAATCAAGTGGTTTCGCTTTCGTAAAATAACCTAAGGGTCGAAGAAAGTAATTGCTTCTTTTGTTAACAAGATGCAAGTTGATTTTTATCAATTTGTCGTTACTTTTCATCTTCAGCTATCATATTCAGAGTATCAACGCAGTCTTTGCGCAACAAGTTTTGAGCATTTGTTACTAATATATTGCGGAAAAGAAGCAGTGCAAACTTACGTCAACTAACTTCCCTTGATGTCAAGCATACACGAGCATTTATTCTATATAAGATAAAGAGTTTCCAAATATCTCAGTGAAATATTCAGAAACAACTGACGAAATGACTCACAATTGAACTATCCGTAGAGCTTGTTTTCAATACAATATCCGTATTCATTTACTTCAACGTCCCCATTGCGCAGGTTTGGGTACAAGGTTGGCAGAGATGGTTTGGCTAATTCATTTGTCCTTGTTATCATTGTGTGATTGTGTGTAACTTTTAGTCATAGTGGAGTTTTCCTTTGGAACAGCTTGCCAGAATTGTTAAGGGATTCTTCCAGGCAGCAAAAGGCAAGCTCAATTTAAAACAGCGATTTAAATACAAACGTCATTTGAATAAAAATGAGTTCATGAAATTTAAAATTGGAGCATATTGGTAAAATGCAAGCCTGAAGGATGTTGACACGCTGCCTAAATTTGGCCAAATTCTTCTGGGTAGAAAATTCAAGCGAGTTTCGACTGACAAAGCAGGGGGTGTTACCACAAAGTGTTTGAGTCATAAAGTGTCGGGCGTTGCTTGCCACGATGCATGTCCACAGAAAATATCCAGGGTAAATAACGAGTGTGTTTATTTAGACCATCCAAACAAACGTGGCATGCAACTGGTTCTAAAGTTTTTAAGCAACACTGAGCACGCATAAAACAACGTTGATTGCCACGATGCTTGTCCACAGAAAATATACAGGGTGAATAACGAGTGTGTTTATTTAGACCACCCAAACAAACGTGACATGCAACTGGTTCTAATGATACTTCTGGAATCATTTTCCATTCGTCAAAATGTATATTACCATCAGTACCAGCGTTCTCTTGCTCATGTTGGGCAGATAAAGACACTCTCGGCGTTTCGGTTACGAAAAGTGAAAAAATCGATAAACTAAATCCAATTATTTCCTTTAGCATAGCGATAACGATCGAACGTGAATAAGAAGAATTATGAAATCAGAAAACTTTACTATTTAAAGCGAGTCGAATTAATGCAGGAATGCAGCAACGCTTTACTTTGTGCTTTAATGTCCCTCTAGTACTGTACTCTTGTGCAAATGTTCTCACAGTACTCGTCTTTGAAATGCTAATCATGCAAGGAATCCATTTTGATGTAAACTTTTTTGAAAGAATTTCTTTGTTGATTTAGCGTCTTTCGAAACCTTATCAATTTAATTTTGTACGAGCAATTGAGAACGGGAAGTATTGAATAAAAAGGTATGCTTATTCAACCTGCAAAGTTTGTTGTCATTCGCAATCTGTTGTGAAATGAAATGTTTGTTCGTGATATGTGTTTGTGTGATGTCAATAATAATATAGGGGATGTAAAAATTGTCAGTATAAAATAGTGTATGAGAAGATAAACAATAAAAACAAGAGAAGCATCTTTCTCAATATTCAAATTAAATACAGTTCCATCGTGTCTTGAATCGTGATCCAGCATCCCGCACAACAGAACGTTTAGGCTGTGCGACCCAATGAATGTACAATACTCAGGGACTCGCGCAGCGGCGCAGGGCACTTGGATAAATGTGTGTCCCTATTAGGGGGGGACCCATAGTTTTCTATATCTGCCAGAATTGATAAATATCAGATCACGATTTTTTCCACAAGAAACGTGGACTTAAAGGCTTCAATCTTTAATGATTGGTCATCTGACAACAAATTAAAAAGTTAAAAATATAGACACAATAAACAGGTATATTCAACTTTGACTAAAAGAACGAACAGTTCTTGACAACAAACTTTACAGAACTCTCCTCAGACTGTTTAATATGTGATCGAAACACGGACTCCAGTTCTCTACTAAATTCAGCAATAATGATGAACACAACAAATATATTAGCCAATAAATGTCGTTTCCAGTACTTCTTCCACACGCGGCTAATTGGAATGTTGTAATAATACATTTGCACGAAATTCGACAAACAGTTGAAAATGAAATCTATTAAAACACCAATTCCAATTCTTTTCAGAAACTCATACAACAATGGTTCAAAGGCGACGTCAAAACTTTGAATCTGATATGAAATGAAGTAGGCCTGACTCAAAACAAGGGTGTTGTATTCAAAAAGTATATCTTGAATTTCTAAGTCAGCTCTTAACCGTCTCGCATGTGCAGTATTCCATGGTAAAACTTGCAGTCTTTGAAAACAACGTAAATTATTTAAAGCTGAAATTATTCGTTTCCATATTTTATAACGAAGTTGTTGGGTTGCCCTTTTTAAGAAATTGAGAACGGCTGAGAACAATGAGAGACCAAAAAGCCAAATACTTTTAAAGTTTGTCTGCATCGTTCTATAAAGGAATATAACACCACCTCGGATCATGTACACCAGGACAAAGCTACGACCAGGATTGACGACTTCTGAACTTCTTCTCAACGCCATATGCCCACACAACACTGTAGGAATGAGCGCTAAGAATGGTGACGAGGTGGCAATCAAAAATTTATATAAGTTTAGACGAACTTTATTGAATGCAGGGATGATTAAAAAAATGTAAAGATAAGTAAGTATTGTACCAAAGATAAATTCAATCAGAACAAGCGCAATAACGTGACCTTTAGAATATGAAATGGAAGGTGCGCTAACTCGGATGTGGTAAATGACTACCAGTGCGCAGCATAATATCGAGAGACAAAATATTGCACTTGGAGGTATTCTGTAGTAACTATGTGCATCGTAAACATTGAACTGAAATGAAATCAAGTGATAAATCACGACCAACTCTCCGAATATGACACCAACATAAACCGCTGATAAAAACTTTGTTTTGAATTCTTTCCATCCAAATAATATAATCATTGTCAATGGAAACCATAAATATAATACAAACGACTCCACGCAACGACCAAAAACGTGAGCACGTTTTACAGATAACGGTAATGTGTTGTTGTTGTGACTTTGCCATTCCAAACAAGTGTAGGCGGTATTCATTGACACGTATACAAGCGTTATGAAGAATACAATAGGAATGAAGGAGGCTGCAATGATATTTAAGCACGTCCACAAACATTTCCATAAAGTCTTCCAAACTTTTCCTTTATTTCCACAGTCCTCAAAACTTATTACATGTTGATTTGAGAGACAAGCGAAATTTTGCGTAAATATTTCATCACGAATATCGTCGTCGTATTCTTTGTTGATGAAAGTGTTTGGTGTATCATTTTCAATTCTTTCAAATTCGAAATTCACGTTTTCGAGTGCAGATTCACGGTTAGAACTAACCCTCGGTGAATCTGCAGTAAAAAGCGAGCAAAGCGACAAGGAAAACGCGATTATCTCCTCAAGCATTTTAAATTTGTTCAAGTGATGACTAAATTGAAATTGAGATGAATTAACCCATTGTTTATTGATGCGGTTCACCAGTTCAGGTACTTTGTTTGGCAACACTGGAGAAAAAGATATGGCCTCCTCGTTCCCTGAGGGTTATTTGAAGGGTGAACTAAACACTTCGTACATGGTTGTAGCAATATCTAAACATTTTCGCAATAATTGTTATGTTTTACGCACAATCAATGTGACTCGTTGATTTGTGACAGATAAGGCAGAAATCATGGGAACAAGTACAATTAAACATATAATGTTCAGTTTATATTCTATTCAACGCTGCAATAAGTTAATTAAAATTATAAATTTCCTATTTAAACGTGGTTTGCCTATCTGAATTAGCACTTGTTCGTAGGCATTGACTATATAGACTTCCTCTTTACTAGTATTTAAAAAAAAGTTCAAAAGACGATGCGCCCATCCAGTCTAAAGTAAGAGTGACCTCATTCTTCTTATCGTAAAGTTACTAATCACTATGCAAGTCTCATTACTGTTGTGCTGTTTTATCTGGGATTCATAATTTAGAATAATATTTTTCGCGGAAATTTTTTATTTTGTGTTGTGTTAATATTTTGTACATGCAGCCAAAACTTTTTACCAATTAACAAAAGTACGTCAGAAGTCCTTCTAGAAACTCCTGCTAAAGATTATTGACTTTGTCAATCCCAAAAGTTGAAGACATGAATAGACGGATTTTGAATTCAAAGAACTCAAATAAATTATTTACATCGTAGCTATATTAACAAAGAATACGACGATGACATGGATATAAATGAATACAATGATCAAATTTTAACTTCGGAGATCACGAATGAAGGACTTCAGAACACAGCAAACTTGCAAAATGCTAGAAACATTTGCATATTTCTTCCAAAAAGTACGTGCATGACGATTCACAACCTCCTAGAGGTCATTCTTTTAACTGTTATGGACATGGCTCTGATCTTAAACATCAACATTATTTACAGATGTCTACAATGGCGAAATTATTTCAACAGTCTACTGTTGTTTGTTGCCAAGTTGTCGTCTTTTGAAGTTTACGTGGTTACGTAAACTTCAGTGAAGTTCTTCAGTGAATTCTGTAGCTGAGGGTGGAATTTTACGACACCTCAGTGACTGTGGTCCGGACTCCGTAATCATTTTGCTAAACACTTGGGCGAAGGGATGATTTTTTTTTGTTTTGTTGTGTTTGACAAAAGGAATTATTAGCTGTTTTTTTTTACTCTATTAATCTATTTTAAGTGAGTTTCAAGTATCCCGATATAAAATGAACAGCCGTGTTTTGATTGTTTTCGTTGCTACCATAATTTTTGTGCCTGAAAAATGGCATTTCTTTAATCTAGAGTGGCATACATTCAACAAACGACTAGTAACCCGTGAAGTTTCGCAGGTTACGTTGTTCTTATAACCAGAAAAACCGAGTGGTAAAACTTATCATGGCGATTTGTGCTCGCAGGTTACCTGGTTCTTATAACCAGAAGAACTGAGTTGTAAAACCTATCATGGCGATTTGCGCTACTTTATTGTATATCGTTGTTAAAATGAATTTTTAAAATCTTACAAAAACTACTTTCATTATTAAGAAAAGATGGCGGCGAGGTTGCCTTTCTAGATTCATTCACATATCAAACAGTAAAATTGCAGTATAATCCTTAACTAAAACAACAAACAACTTCTCCTAAAGAACTTTGCAAAGCTCGCTCCAGAATCATCAAAATGCGATCGAAACACAGATTAGAAACTTCGGTTGAAATTAGCAATAATCACCAACGAGGCCATTACATTGGCTAACAAATAACGTTTCCAATACTTCCTCCACACGCGACCAATGGGAATGTTGTAAAAATATATTTGCACGAAGTTGGACATACAGTTGAAGACGAAATCTATTAAAACGCCAATAGCGGTTCATTTCATGAACTCATACAACAAAGGTTTGATGGCGATGTTAAAGCTTTGTAGCTGATAAGAGATGAAGTAGGTTCGACTTAAAACAAGAGTATTGTATTCAAAAAGTATATCTTGAATTTCAAGGTCAGCTCTTAACCGTCTTGCAGGTGCAGTGTTCCATGGTAAGACATGCAGTCCTTGAATACAACGTAAATTGTTCAAGCTGAAATTATTCGTTTCCACAATTTGAAAAGAATTTTTTTGTGGCCCTTTTTAAAAAATTTAAATCTGATAACAAATTTGAAAGGCCAATAAAAGCCAATGTTTTGAAGTTTGTCTGTATTGTTCGGTAAACAAATATAACGCCACCTCGGATAATACACACCAGAATGAAACTACGACCGGGATGAACGACCTCGGAACTTCTTCTCAACGCTATATGCCTGAGCAATGACCTAGAACCCAATCTACTAGATATCTGACTCCACCAATATTGTATGAATACGAGTGAGGCAAGCCGCTATCTTGAAAGTTGGCAAAACTGATGATATTTACGACTAATATCTGTTTTTGCTGAGTTGATACAGAATTGCAAGTTGATATTCTAGGTTTAATTATTAAAATGTTTGATAGTATAGGTTTTTTGAACTTTGTTTTAACTCACTTTTCATCTTGCGTTTTGCTTTTTGCCACCTTTCAAGATTGCTTCCTTGCCTCACCTTGACGCGGTATTTACACATCTAGAAGACTAGGTTCTAAATCATTGGGCCAAAATGTCGCTCATTATTGGAGTTACGGTGATCTCCTTTCATAAGGATGTCATAACTCATGTTATCCCTGTTTTAAATGTCACCTACTCGTTTGGAGATGACGTTATCCTTTGATGTCTTATAATTTATTCATTATAAATAGAAGTAGATTATTTAGTTTTCATTAAAGTGGGCATGGAGACTGATGAGAAAGATGGAAAAACATTCTAAAAATTACGTTTGGAACGAGGTGTTGGTGGTTTAGCATGGAATTTAAGAAAGACGAAAGACAAGTAAAACAACAAACATATCAAAGAAGATATCAAAAACAAACAAAATATCAACCAACAAGGCAGACAGTCCTTAGTCATGCTTTCACTAATAAAGAATAAAGAGATGCAATTTGTGCAGCCTGTAATTAACTGCAGAGCATAGAGCAATACAAAAATTAACAATAGCTCCAGAAATGGAAACAGTCGCAACAACAATGAAATGTGCCAGTGTCAAAACGTGTAGGATGGCAAAAGCAAAAACCATTAGGAAATACAAAGACTAGCAAATATTTCATCATAAGAGCGCAACAGTAGCATGAATCATGTTTACCTCAAATCCAATTCGTACAAGTCGACAAAAAACAGGTGTAAAATATTACCAAAACATTACGTATTAAATGACGCATGTATGACGTGGTATAATCTAAACTAAAACAACGAACAGTTCCTAATCACGTATTTTACAGAACTCTCTCCAGTTTCTTCAAAACGTGAGCGAAACACGGATTCTAAACCTTGACCAAAATAAGCAATTAATACAAAAATTGTAACTATGTTGGCAGACAAATGTCGTTTCCAGTACTTCTTCCACACGCAGCTAATGGGAATGTTGTAATAATACATTTGCACAAAGTTGGTCAGACAGTTAAAGATGAAATCTATTAAAATCCCAATCGCAATTCTTTTCAGGAACTCATACAGCAATGGTTCCGTGGAGATGTCAAAACTTTGAAGCTGATATGAAATGAAGTACGCCTGACTTAAAACAAGAGTGTTGTATTCAAAAAGTATATCTTGAATTTCTAGGTCAGCTCTTAATCGTCTGGAATGGGGTGTACCTCTAGGTAAAATTTGTAGTCTTTGACAACATTGTAATTTGTTCAAAGCTGAAACTATTCGTTTCCACATTTTGAAACGAATTTGTTTTGTTGCCTTTTTTAAAAAGTTTAAAACCGATGAAAACAATGAAAGACCAATAAAAATCCAAATATTTTTAAAGTCTGTCTGCATTGTTCTATAAACGAATATAACGCCACCTCGTATCAGAGAGATCATGATAAAACTACGATCTGGATGAACAACTTCGGAACTTCTTCTCAACGCCATATGCCTACACAGTGCAGTAGGAATAAACGCTACCAGAGGTGAGGAGGTTGCAATCAGGAATTTATATAAATTTTGACGAACTCCATTAAACCCAGGGATGATTATAGACTTGTTGAGATTTGCCAGTAAAGCACAAAAGATAAATTGCATAAGAATAAGCGCTGCAATGTGACAATTGGAATAAGGGATGAAAGGTTTACCAATACGGATGTTGCTAAGAATCACGAACGTGCAGCATAATGACGACACCCAAAATAAAACAATAGTAGGATATCTGTAGAAACTATGTGAATAGTAAACATTGAACTGAAATGAAATCAAGTGATACATGACGGCCAACTCTCCAAATATGACACTAATGTAAACCGCGGATAAAAATTTTTCTTTAAATTCTTTCCATCCAAATAAAATCATCATTGTGAATGGAAACCATAAATATATCACGATCGTCTCTACGCAGACACCAAAGACTTGAGCACGTTTTACAGATAACGGTAATGTGTTGTTATGATTCTGCCATTCCAGACAACTGTAGGCGGTATTCATTGCCACGTAAACAAGCGTTATACAAAATGCAACAGGAATGATGGAGGCCACAATGATGTTTAAATTTGTCCACAAACATTTCCATAATGTCTTCCAAACTTTTCCACTTTCTTTCAAATTATCATCATAGCATGTTGTATTCTGGCTTGAGAAATTGACGACAAGATCTTCTCTTGATAATTCATCATTATAATTATCGTCGTCAAACTCTTTGTTTATAAAAGTTGCCTGTGCATCATTCTCAGATTCTCTGTTATCGAAATTTGTATAATCGGATAAAGTTTCGTTGCGAGAACTCACTTTGGGTATGTCCGCGGCAAAAAGTGAACAAATCGACAAGGCAAGTCCGATTATCTCCTCCAGCATTTTTATTTATTTTAACCGGTGAACAGTGAAAACCACGAATAATAAATTTTCTCCTTTGCACTCATGAATGATCATCGTGTTAATAAAGACAATTATATATTAATGCAAATAGAAA